TCTAAGGAGTATAATGCTCCTCATTCACAATGAGGACTCTCCCCCTAAGGGGATCTATACCAACTCACCCCCACCACTTATTTTTATGAGAACGATAAATTGATACCACACTAAGGGGTACTATACCCTTACTCTCCTATTGTATTACGACCATAATGAGGAGTTCAAATACCATACCTACCACCCTTATTTGTATAAGAATATTACAAACCACAAAAAGGAGGGTTTACCCTCCCCCCCCCCCACCCCTTATACTAATACCCTCTCTAACGAGTAAAGAGAGGGGTAGGGGGTGTAAACACCGGTATACATCAGGGTTGTTGTCTCTCTTATTAAGGCTTAAAAATTATTTAGGTAATTTCAATAACATAAGTGGGAGGCAGGTTAACCCCCTTATGGTGCAACTATTTGTGACCCGGGCCTAACGAGTACACTCGATTTCAAATGTAGTTTCACATAGAAGATCAGGTTGCACCACCCTAAAGGGGGGGGGACCCCCCAAATGAGAAGCCTTATTACCCTTACAATTATCATATGATAATTGTAAGGGTTTATGAAGGGAATTGTAAGGGTATATGAAGGATATATCGTAGTACAATGGTGACCCAAGTCTATTCCCATACCCACCTATGGTGGCAGGTTACACGGAAGGGTTAAGGTTGGTAGGGATAAAAATGAGGGTTACCCTCCTTCTTATCCTTCAATCATCTCTAACTCGTTTCCTCAGGGTATCACCATAGAGGGTAGGGCATACTTACTCCACCCTCCATTGTAAAACAATTAACTTTATAATACCCACCTATTGTGGTGTCAAAGTCCCTTCTTTTCATCAGGTTACACGGGGAGGTTAAGGGGAGGGTACTCATTGTGGGACAATTTACCCTCCTTTGTGGTACAATAGTAATACAAATTAAAATGGGAGGGGGTAAGAGTTGGTGATCCTCCTAAGTGTTGTCTAAGGAGTATAGTTCTCCTCATTGTGGTACTAAAATGAGGACCCCCCCACCACTTATTCTCATACCACAATAAGGTCCCTCCCCTAGATATCTTGGGAAGGTATGGTTATAATAGGTAGATAGTGGTACAAATATTCCTCAGACAACATTATATACCAACCTTAACCCCCCTCCCACTTGTCGTAATAAGTGGGTTATTACGATATAATGATAATAGAACCCCACCAATAGTAAGTTAAGAATACAAAAAGCCAGACAACGTCAACCATATGCCAATACCAAAGAGAGAATTCTAGACCTAAATGATGATGTTGAGTGAATTGGTCGCGAATCATACGAATAAGCATAACGGAGAGGAAAATAGCACCAATAATAACATGAGTACCGTGTAAACCGGTAGTCATATAGAAAACAGTACCAAATACAGAGTCGGCTAAGGAGAATTGGCCAACATAATATTCAGTAGCTTGTAAACCAACAAAGATAAAACCTAAAATAACAGTAGCAAACATAGTCGCAATGGCTAAGTCTTTGTTACCATTAATTAAGGCATTGTGAGCAACAGTACAGGTAGCACCAGAAGAAAGTAAAATTACACTACCTAATAATGGGATAGACCATGGGTCTACAGCTACAATACCAATTGGAGGCCATACACCACCTAAACTTACATCAGGAGATAAACTAGAGTGGAAGTAGGCCCAGAAGAAGCTAATGAAAAGAAGAATTTCGGAAGAAAGGAATAGGAGTACACCAAGCATTAGACCACTTTGAACTTTAGTAGTGTGTTTACCGGCAAGACCTTCACGAGTAACATCACGGAACCAACCATAGGAAACTAATAAAACACTAATAAGACCTACAATTAATAGGGAAGGACCATGTTTGAAGGAGAAGATAAGACCACTAGCAAATACGAAAGCAGATAAACCACCAAAAATTGGCCATGGAGATGGGTCAACTAAGTGGTAAGGATGTCTAAGATTAACACTGTTCATCAAATAAAGATGATATTAGAAAACACTCGAAGAAGGGGCCTTATCCAGGTACAACTATGGGGGTTAGGTATGGTACTTGAACTTCTCATTGTGGTACCACAATGAGGAGAACTATACCACTATTGGGACCCTCCCCCTAAGGGGGGGATCTATACCAACCTTAACCCCCCTCCTGTTGTGATTATTTATATTACAACTATTACAACAATGAGGTAGTAATGGTAGGATGACCCTCCCACTTATTGTAATAGAAATAATACAACGTATTATTTATATTACAATGGAGATTTGGTACCACAAAAAGTAGGCACACAAAGGAGGGTAAACCCACCTATTGATACCACAATGAGGTACCTCCCCCCTTTCAGTGAGTATGGGTTTGTATTATTTAACCCATGGGATTAAGAAAAGTCTTTAATGGTAATACAGGAAATAAAAGTAAAAATATAGGCTTGTAAATAGGCAATTAATAATTCTAAGAGAAGGAAAACAGTTAATAATACAATTGGAAAGACTAAAATAACTAAGGATACACCACCAATAAAACCTTCATAAATGAAACCACTAACAACTTTAACTAAGGTATGACCAGTAATCATGTTAACAGTGATTCGAAGACCAAGACTACCAATACGGGTAACGTAAGATAATACTTCGATAATAGAAATAAGAGGAATAAGAGCAACAGGAATACCAGCAGGAATAAAAATACCAAAAATTGCATAACGATAACGACGGAAACCATTAGCAATGGCAGTGACCATTAAGAAAAGGGCAAGGTTAAAAGTAATAATAAGGTGAGTAGTAGGAGTAGTGGAATAAGGTAAAAGACCAAAAACGTTAGAAAAAAGTAAACCAGTGAAAAGAGTGAAAAGGAATGGGAACCAAGCACCAGATTTTGGACCAATATAATTACGAACCATATTATAAAGAGTAACATGATAGGTTTCTAAACCTAAGAACCAGTTAGAAGGAACTAAGGTTTGGTTTTTAGTTAAAGCATAACCTAAGAAAGTTAAGAAACCAAAGGCAAAAATTAAGAAAATAGAAACATCATTAAAACCATAACCAAGATTAATGACTGCAAAAGCTTCCATTGGAGAGTAAGAGAACATCAAGATATATATATATAGACTTAGATTTCCTAAAATTTGATGGGTTAAGTATCGTATTTTCATACTCCTCATTATGGTACAATTTACCATTTATGGTAAATGGGTAACCCTCCTCCTTAAAGGGGAAATTGTCCCACAATGAGGACCCTCCCCTCTTAGATATTCTTATACAAATAATGTGATACATTATTTGTATAAGAATAAGTGGGAAAGTATGGCTATTATACCATTACTACCCATTGTTGTGATACAAATCCAAATTATAATTTGGATTTGTATCACAATATTATGACCTCCTTATTGTGGTACAATCGTAATACAAATAATCCTGTTCTCATACAAATCCAAATCAATGGTACCATTGATTTGGATTTGTATTACGACCCCCCAGTTAATTGTTTACACAGGATTAGGATAGTGGGTAACACTCCTCCTAAGGGGGGATCTATACCAACCTTAACCCCACTTCTACTATAATCTGGACAAGGGGATAATTGAAAGGTATGGTTATTATACCCCTTAGACAACACTTACCCCCCCCTCAGGATATTTGTATCACAATTCTTTCTATCTATGAAAAGAAGGAATTTTGACACCACAATAAGTGGGTATGAGAACAGGAGTTAGGGGGTTAGAATACCATTAGGATACCATTACCCTCCTATTGAATAAATGGATTTGTATGGTAACAGGGGGGGAGGTAACTACTATGGTAGAGTTGGTTACCCCTTTCCTTAATTAGATGAATAAAAGAGTATAACGAGAAAGGTGGGTAAGTAAAATGTAAGGAAAAACAATAAGTTGGTTAAATACCATAAAAAGAATAAATAAAATAGAAAACCAAGAAAGAAGGTTTAAATAGTTCATAGACATTAATTGAGGCATCAGATTAAAATAAACCTAGATTTCCTAAATTATCTTCTATACCCTTACAATTGAAGAAAGACAAATGGGTGGGTCCTTTCTAATTCAATGCCCTCTTAAGGATAAATTACCCACAGTTGCCCTACCCTACTGTTGTGATAAGTCACAACAGGACAAGTAGGAGGGGGGTTAAGGTTGGTATAGATGTTGTCTGAGGAGTATTTTTACCACTATCTACCCACTATAACCATACCTTCCCACTTATTCTTATCCTGTGTAAAACAATAAACTTGGGGTCGTAATACAAATGGGTAAATAGTGATATAATGCCATAATTATCCACTTTTCTCATACAAATCCTTATCCATGGGTATATTATACCCTTGTCCAGATTATACAAAGAATGTATACATTCTTTGTATAATTATGGTGGGTAAATAATGGTATTTGTACCACTATTACCCACTATCCTAATCCTGTTGTGATTTATCACAACAGGATTAGATCTGGATTTGTATGAGAACTACCCCCTATGGTGATACTGGATCGAAGAACGAGAGAGTACTGGGAATCATACTCACTTGTTCTAAGATCCATTACCTTCTTTACACTCGTTAGAGTATGAAATCAGGGTGCCACCATAACAACAGGATTAGATCTGGATTTATATAATTTGTATTATGATATATACTTGTGATACAAATTATATGTAAAAATAGATATCTAATGAGTTAACAGGTCTATTGTATAACATAATTTATTATTTTGTACAATAGGGGGTTACACCCCGTCGTCATACAAATTCATATCCTCTATGTGGATAAACCTCGTCACAATACACCGTAGATATCTAGGGGCATCATTTGCATTACTATTCTCATACAAATAATGTCTCTCTAACGAGTGAGTTCTTTGATCCAATTTGTATGATAATAAAGGGTGGGGGTTAGAGTTGGTGTAGATCCCCCTAAGGGGGGAGGGTCACCAACCCTTACTTCCCTCCCACTTGTCGTAATACAAATCCAAATCAATGGTACCATTGATTTGGATTTGTATTACTAAACAATTTCAGGGAACCGGGAGTCGAACCCAGGCTAAAAGTACCCAAAACTCTCGTGCTACCAATTACACTATTCCTAGTGATGCAAATGATGTCTCTCTAGATATCTATATCTTATTGTGACCTGGTCTATTCCCATATGGGAGAGGGGGTAATAGTTGGTACTCCTCCCCCTTAGGGGAAGGGACCTTATTGTGGTATCAATCGTATCGTAATACAAATAATCCCAAGGGTAAATAGTGGTATAATACATAATTACCCACTAGTTCTCATACAAATCTTTCTCCTGTGGTATAACTACCACAGGAGAAAGACAAGTGGGTCATAGTGGTACTTAACCATATTATGCCATTGTTCAGATTATACAAAGAATGTGTACATTCTTTGTATAATTATGGTGGGTAAGTAATGGTATTTGTACCACTATTTACCCACTATTCTAATCCTGTTGTGATTTATCACAACAGGATTAGATCTGAATTTGTATGATATTACGATTGATACCACAATAAGGAGTAACAACATAGGGGTATAACCCACCTATTGTGATGTAACTGTTGTAATAGAAATAATCCTGTTGTTATGGTGGTACAAGTACTCCTCATTGAGGTATCACAATACCAACCCTAACCCCCCTCCCACCATAATAAAATTTGGATTTGTATAAGAAAGTCAGGGTACAACAATGGGGTAGTAGTGGTATGAGGACCCTCCCCTAGAATAATATTGTTACCCACCTATACCACAATGAGATACCCCCCTTCTTCGATCTAATTCGTATTACGATATACCAACCCTAACTCCACCCACAACTATGGGATAATTTATCTGTTGTGGGTAGGTATATAGGTAAATTAATGAGTATCAAGATGAATTTTAATAATAGCAACCATAATTCCGAGAAGTAAAAAACCAACTAAAATAAGAGCTAAAGGATAAGCATTAAAAATCATATTTGCTAACATAGTTAAATCAGAAGGGCGACCTAAGAGATTAGACCAATCAGAAGAGTAAATAAAACGAAGATTGTTTTCCCAAGCAGGATTAATAGCGCCTTGAACCACAGGTTCAAGTTCAATAGGACCAGCAAGGAAAAGAAAATAAAAAGCAAAACTAGCTAATAAAAGAATAGCAGCAATAGGAGAGGCAAAACTGCCTAATTGTAAAGTAAGGCGAACATTGATCATAAAAATGGTGAAGAGAAATAAAATAGCAATGGCACCAACATAAACAATAATAAGAGTTAAGCCTAAAAAGTAATGGTCTAATAAAAGAAAAATACCACCACCCGCAAGATAAAGACCACATAAAAAAAGGACAGAGTTAATAGGAGATTTACTAACAATAACTAAGACACCACATAAGCCAATAAGAACTAAAAAAGTTTCATAAAGGAAATAATTATTCATCTTATAAAATAGAAGACATTTCCTATACTTATTCTCATACAAATCATGTTAGGGTATCACCATAGGGGGTAGGATAGTGGGAGGGGGTTCCTTTCTAACGAGGTTCTATGGCATATGAATTTCCAGAACAAGTTAGAAAGGATATCCATAGATAACTTGTTCTTTAATTCATTACAATCCTTATCTTGGCCTATACAATAGACCAAGATAAGGATAAATGGGAGGGTAATGGTACAAACACCATAACTACTCTTTATCCAGGTCGTGGTTTACACCACGACCTGGTTCCAATTATAGGTGGGTAACTCACCTTTGTCCAAATCTACATAGTAGATTTGGAGGGGGAGGGACCTTAGACAACTCCTTTAATCGTAATACAAATAATCCTGTTCTCATACAAATGGGAGGGGGGTTAGAGTTGTCTAAGGAGTATAGTGCTCCTTATTGTGGTATCACAATGAGGACCCTCCCCCTAAGGGGGATCTATACTAACTCTAACTCCCCACCACTTATTTGTATGAGAATTGTCTGAGGATTCCACTATCTACCCACTATAAATATATCTTCCCAAGATATCTAGGGGAGGGTCTTCATTGTGGTACCTCAATGAGAAGTACTTGTACCACTATCTATCTATTATCCTACCCCCTATGGTGATACCATAACAGGATTAGGTTTGGATAATTTGTATCACAATAGGGCTATTTATCTCAGAGCTCTCTCTTCGATAAATCTTCGATGATTGAAGGAGTTGTCTTCCAATCTAACCCCACCCCTTTTTATCATAAGACCAGGGGCATCACAAAGGAGGGTAAACCCACTTATTATGATTTCACAATAAAGGCAGGTTAACCCTCCACTCCTTGTTTTCATACCCACCTATTTCAAAGTTCCTTCTTTTCATCAGGTTGTATGAGAATAGTTTCGCATAGATATCTAAAGGAAGAGTTATTTTAGGAGGTAGTAATTTTTAAAATGAGATAAATAAATTAGAAAGCGTAAAGAATAATAAGAGCCATCATAAGGGCAAAAAGACCCATAGCTTCGACTAAAGCGAAACCTAAAATGGCCATTTGGAAAAGTTCGGCACGTAAAGAAGGGTTACGAGAAATACCACCAATAAGGGCAGAGAAGACGTTACCAATACCCATAGCAGCACCACCTAAAGCAATGGCAGAAATACCAGCACCAATTAATTTACCAACCATAATCATCAATTAAGACTAAGATATCTAAGAATAACTAATACCCTTTACTCCATAGGAGGATTAGGGGGAGGAAGAATCACAACAGGATTATTTGTATGATAATTTGTGGTTTTATAGCTAGGATTTATTATAAACCCACTTATTGTGATCTATGGTAACAATGGGTGGGTACCTCTAATAAGTATTGTAATACAAATCCAGATCTACGTAGTAGATCTGGGTTTGTATTACAATCAGTGGGAGAGGGGTTACAATGAGGTGTTTTAATAGACAACTCTTTAACCCTCCTTTTTGTGGTCGTATTACAAATCGAGTGCCTGGGTCACAAACAGCTACACCACAATAGATGGGTATGAGAAAAAGGAGGGGACCTATATTGTGGTATCAATTTATCGTTCTCATACAAAGAAGGGTTTACCCTCCTTATTATACTTCAAAAGTATTTGTTCTTATAATACAAATAATCCTGTCGGGGTATCACCATAGGGGGTGGGGTAAGTATATTCTACAGGGTACCACCATAACAACAGGATTAGGTTTGGATAATTTGTATAACAATAGAAGGACCCCCCCCCTCCCACTTATCGTAATACAATGGTGACTCGGGTCTATTCACCTATGGGAGGAGGTTCCTTTCTAACGAGGTTCTATGGCATATGAATTTCCAGAACAAGTTAGAAAGGATATCCATAGATAACTTTTTCTTTAATTCATTACAATCCTTATCTTGGTCTATACAATAGACCAAGATAAGGATAAATAGGAGGGTAATGGTACAAACACCATAACTATACTTTATCCAGGTCGTGGTTTACACCACGACCTGGTTCCAATTATAGGTGGGTAACAATATAAATATATAGGGGAGGACCTTATTGTGGTACAATAGATGGGTTTACCCTCCTTTGTGGTGCCTCTGGTCTATCCCCATAGGGTAACCCACCTATTGTGGTGTCAAAGTACCTTCTTTTCATAGATCCCTCTTTTAGAGGGAGAGGGTCCTCATTGTGTAACAATTTACCCTTTAAGGTAAATTGTATCACAATAAGAAGGGTTATACAAATACTTATTGAAGGAGTTGTCTTACAAGGGGTAGCCAGGTCATGGCACTGGATTTGTATTACGATATCCTCCCTTAGTTGTACCCTAGCTGACGCTAGTATAATGTAAATTGGGGTGTAAGCACCCTTAATAATATACGATACTAGAAAACTATTCTCATACAAATTCAGATTCACATAGTGAATCTGAACA